AATTTTCGAGTAAAACAATATTACCGGTAATTCTTAACAAAATATACCGGTAATTTCGGTAAAGTTACTTGCTCGGTAATACCGGTTAATCGTTTACCGGTAATGGTTAGATAAAAATAAAATAATTACAATATAAAATATGTTTATTAAAAACTGAAAATAAAAGTATTCCAGATGGTTTTACAAAATTAATTTAATTAATTAAATAATCTATCATGTTTTTCATAAGTAGGTAAAAAGCAGAAACTGACATATTTCAAATAAACATGTCATGAATTGTAAAGCTTCAGAAAAAAATCAAGAGCTCATGCTCATACGGTGGTCGCGGCGTGTCTAAACAAATGATAACTTACCGAGAACGAACAGAAAAGAGATACTGAGTAGAAACAATTGATAAACAAAGCAGTTTTCGTTGTTGTTGACGTTGTTGCTTGATTTTTAATTAGCGATCATCGCAAGCCCTCGCAAAAACTATATGACACTAGCCTTTGTCACTTTTTATAAAACTGTATTATTGCCCGAATCGAATTCGACGTATATAAAATTTAAGATAAACTTATCAAATGTGCGCGGGCAGAGAGGAGAATCAACCTATTATTCACACACACACACATACAACAAAAAAAGCGAAACATAATGATAAACTGTACGCTTATCTTATCATAAAAATCAATCGTTAATCAATCAGATAATGACGATTTTATTATATTTGCGAGCGCTGTGTAGATTACGATTTTCGCAGATTACCGGTATATTCTTTCAACTTCAGCGTCGCTTCAGAACCTCATCATTACTTTATTTGCGTTATCTTTGCAGAAGAATTATTCTGAAACATGTTTCTCTCATATCCGGGGTCTGTGAAGGGGTCAAACGCTAAGATAACCTTAGAAACACTCTTTCTCTCTCGATCTTCCTCAACTCGCATATACACATTTATATATAGGCATTGCCCAATACACCGTGCTTTTATCACCACCAAAGCCACCTTCTCTGTTTTTTTAAGAGAAGAGAAAAAAACACTGCTTTCCGACCTTGTTTTCGCCCAGTTAAATCCTGCAGTTTTCTTTAAAAACGAAAGAAAATAATACTGAGATTATCAGATTGTTTTGTCTATTGTGCAGTAACATAATTTACTCTCATCATTCTTGATTCGCGGGAAATTACGAAAAAAATTCATTCGTTAATTACACATTCTTTAAGTGCAATTCGTTTGTTAAAGCAAGAAATGAAATTTGTAGATTAAAAGTGGTTAACATTGTAACATTTTTTTTAGTTTCTTTCATATTTTAATCGATCAATTTATAATTGAATCATGTTTTTTTACGTCTTGTAAAAGCTTTTAAATGGCGACGAGAAGATTTATAATTGACAAAAGCATTAAATAAAACGAAGACAACGTTCACATAAAACTGATTGAAACCTAACTAACTAATACAGTAATCATTTGTTTTAGAACTTGTTCAAAAATGTTAGACAAAGTATTAGACCAGCGTTACTCAACCTGCTTCGCCGTCGAAGCTATGACAGCTGTCACCTTTTGTCAAAGCGTAGAACTGCTGAATTGTTTTTGTAAGTCAATTCCACAGCAATCTATTGTCTTTGGAAATAAAAAAAAATGTTGAAATGAATACAATCTTAATGAATACAATCTTAATGAATCTAAGTAAACGAAATAAAACCAATATACAAGTGTTTTAAATCATGTTATAAACACTTTATATGTGTATTTCAAGAAATTTAAATATGAATTGGAATGCGTTCGTATGCAACATATTATACACTCGTGTGTATCGGTTATCTAAATGGATACGGATTAAAGGGAAAGTAACGATCAGACTTTGCAGACGTAAAGGCCGTAACCCTTTGCTATCAGTTGTGAATACGGAGTTTACGAGTTCAAGAGAGTGAATTAGATAAAGATTAATGCTGGTATGAGAAAGTTGAAATGAAAGTAAACATTGACGACGATCAAAACAATAAGATATTAATTACAGAATTAAATATAATAGTGATGAGCGTTATCGTAGATAATACGTTGATATTGTATGAAATTAATATAATTGTGTTTTTACACTTTGATTCCTGAAAATTTCCTGCCTTTGAAAGAGATTCTTATAGGTTTTGATCGAATCAGTAACCTTCAAGTCCGTTATTATGTACAACGTTAATAAATTGTTAAACGTAATATCATAGTTTTCAGTTCATCCATTGTCACTTAATAAATGATTTACATAAAAGTTTAAAATCTCTTTTGTTGATAGATGATGGTGAATTGTATTTATTGTGAATTTATAATAAGATAATTTATTTTTAATTAATTTAATTCACGAAGAAAGGTTACAGACCTTGCACATCCTGTCTACGATTGTTTATTATAATTTGTAGATAGGCGAGCTTAGATGAAATTCAATGGTGAAATTGAAATACTTTATTTGTAGAAATTCGACGCAAGAAGAGCGTAAATAATTAAGTTCAAGATATGAAAGTTAATTCGTTCTAATTTCTGTCTGCTTTTAGGTGGCTCGACTATTTCAATGTACCAATTGAGGCATATTATTATTACCCCCTGAGTCGAGACATACACTCATATGGGTGCATTCATTGAAACATAAATAGAATGAGTGTGTGTGTGCTCGGACACATTTTGAAAAGCGATATGAAAATGATATGATGTTAAGTAGAGTCGATCTGCGTTTGGACAAAGAACAAACAAACAGACATTATTTATAATGTAGCGGGGCGATTGTCAACATCGAGATAACGATGTCCAATGGAATTGCGAGTGTCCGGATCATTTCATAATCTGCATCTGCGGGAGAACGTGAGCCAATCCGGGATTCATTGGCGAAACACAATTAAGATATGCAACAATAACTGTAGGAGAGTTGTGTGTGTATGTTGTTTGCGGGAATCTCATTGTTTATATTGTTTGTTGGGAGGCTAGATATGAGTAGGATACGCGTACGCAGCAATCGCTGATTATTATTATAATTGCATTGGTATTTTGGTTGGTTGGTTAAGTTTAGGTTTAGTTAGCAAGTCCTACCGGTGTCGTCGTCGGGTGCCAGCACGGGGACATTCTCGACGATGACGGAAGCCTCCTTGGAATTGAGCACGAGTACCACCTGTTGTTCGGCCATTTAAGGGGGCAAAGTTCACGGGGAAAGGGATTCCGCACTCTCTCTCATATACGCGCAACACATACGGTCACAAATTACAGTGCGTTCGGCATCGGCGAGAACGGAACGAGTTCGGATCCAACTTGATTTCCCGCCCGGCGACCAATCGCCTCCTCCGGTTCACGTGCACGTGACGACGGCCACCTCGTCGTCCGCTCCTCCGACGGGGAACGCACTTCCAACAGATACGTCGCTGATTGGAGCGGACGTCGTAAGCGACGCACGCATCTCGCTCTTTATTCAACTCGCTTACATTTCAATAGACTAAACCAGAGCTTCCAAACTTACCGCCTACTTTTCAGATGAAAAAAAAAAAACTAAGCGTTCAACTATTATTATCAAAATCCCCATATGAGTCTTACAATTTAAACTCTACTTAAGCCAACAATCTACATTCAGTCAACAAAACTATTCCATTTTCTATATACTTCATAGTAAAGATAGACATCTTAAAGTAATAATATCTTGATTTAATTAGTAGATGAAATACTTAATTTGTTATAAATAAAATTTGTATCAGTAGACTTAGGATCTACATAATTTCGTATTATTAGTTTTAATAGTTTGAATGTTCGTAGTTATATTTTTATATAGTTAACAAATGAATTTGAATCAGTAGACTTAAGATCTACATCATTTGGTATAATTAGTTTAGTCGTTAGACTTTTCACAGTTAATTTCTCTATTTAGTTAACTAATTTGTTAAATAAAATACTTATTTTGTTATAGGTAAGATTCGAATCAGTTTAAGTAGTATAATCATTAGACTTTTTGAATTTATTTTTTTAATTTAGTTAACAAATTTATCAAAAGAAATACTTGTTCTATTTTAAGTAAGATTTGAATCAGTAGACTTAAGGTCTACATAATTTCGTATATTTAAGTCGTTGGACTTTTTGTTTTTAATTTTTTGATTTAGTTAACAAAATTGACAGATGAAATACTCGTTTTATTATAGGTTTCAAATCCGTAGTTTTAGTCGTTAGACTTTTTGCAGTTAATTTCTTTATTTAGTTAACAAATTTGTCAGTTCAAATAATTATTTTGATATAGGTAAGATTCGAATTAGTAGACTGAAGATCTACATAATTTCGTATAATTAGTTTAGTTCTTGGGCTTTCTACAATTAATTTCTTTATTTGATTAACTCATTTGTCGGAAGAGATTCTCAGTTTGTTATAGATAGAATTAGACTCAGTAGACTTAAGATACAAATAATTTTGTATAAATACTTTAGTCCTTAGACTTTTTGCAGTTAATTTATTAATTTAGTTAACAGATTTATCAAAAAAATACTTGTTCTGTTTTATGTAGGATTTGAATCAGTAGACTCAAGGTCTACATAATTTCGTATATTTTAGTCGTTAGACTTTTTGCAGTTAATTTCTTGATTTCGTATAATTAGTTTAGTCGTTGGACATTTTCCAGTTAATTTCTATATTTAGTTAAGAAATTTGTCAGATGAAATTTGTGATTTGTATGAAATTAATAAACTTAAGGTCTACATAATTTTGAATTGCTTTATTAAAACATTATATATTGATAAACATCATTTTTCGCTATTTTTATAGTAAAATAATTAATTTATAACTATCTTCTAGACCGGTCCATATTCGGCAACCAAAATGCAGGTCCGTATCTTGTAAATATTATAATTTTGCAAATATTATATAGGTAACTGCATATCGCGTCTGGTGGCGCCAACTTGCGAATACACCCACGTACTAGTGATAAGTTAGAGAAACAGTCTTGAGATGGCGTTCATAAAAGAAGAATCAATAGGGATAAGAGAGGGGAGATGATCGTGTGTTTGGGCGATTCTATTCGCATGCTGCAATATTATCCCACCAACGCTACCTACAAATTCGAAGGTCGCAGACCGAACGCTTCAATAAGCAGCCAGAGCTCAATATGTTCTGATGCCCAGCAACAACAACAAAAAAAAAAACAAGAAAAGAGTAAACGTTTCGTGTACAGGTGCGATTTCTGAAGACGTGTGCGGCCCTGAAGAATAGAAACTGTCTTCTACATTATTACTAATAATAGTAATATTCATCCACCAACAAAGTTTGGTGACAGTGACGTTACCTGACAGTGCTTAAATTCAAGTATAGGGACCTCCGAGACATGCCTCTCTCACGCTTCGACCGTGTGCCGTTGCCAAATTTGAAGACGTACACGTTCTTAAGTGTTCTGGCCCTTTCGGGATGTGTGTACTTCGCGAAGGAGGCGATCAAAGATCCCGATTGGAATATCCAGGATAAGGTCCAACATCAAAATAGTAGGCAGAGAGATGAAACGTTCAACATTAGCAGTGCGAACGATACCTCCGACTCTGAAAGGTCCTTGAAGCAATGGGTCTCAGATATGTCTGCAGTTATGACCCGCGAACCAATATGCGTCTGGGTGAGTGAACCAACAACAACAACAATAATAACAACCAAGTTTCAACTCAAAACCGCTGCTTCTGCAACATCTAGAGCAGATGTTGGCTTAGATCAACGCAAATTTCAAGAATTGCAATCGCAATAACAACCAAAACAGAAATAAAACTGTGAACTGGGTAAAGGACATTTTCAAGTTTGACCCGAATCACCATTTGATATCTGTAGATACTTTGTTGCAAAGTGCGTACTAGACTACTTTCAAAGCAAACTAAATTCTTAGTTGACATTCTTAGTTGTAAATATTTTTTTAAGCAAAAACGGTTTTTTGTTGTAAATATTCAAACTCGCAACAAATTTATTGACTTCTTTACTGAATTATCAAATACTACGATTTAAGATTTGTAATGCAAATTACAAACAAACAAAAAACAGATTTTTTTTTATTAACATTTTTTGTGTGCAAACATGAATAACACTTTATGAATCAGAGAAATAAGGTCGCAACTAAGTATCGTTTCAATTATCATATAATTACACTACTATAGAAACAATTATATATGCAAATGATTCTCGTTTACTAATGTGTACAAAACAACAATATTGCAAATTGTCACATTAATAAACAAAATAATGTACAAAAATTGAGATAGATATTCTCTCCATGGCGCCATTGATGTTTTTTTTGTTCTTGTGTTAATGAATTATCGAAGATTGTCATTCAATCGATTCGAAAACAAATAAATATTGATGAACTACTTCTGTATAATGCATATAGAAAATACTTTCGTTTTTTTTAATTTAAAATAAAACTCTTTTTTTTGTATACAAAGAATACATTTTAATCAATTATATTTTTTCCATTGTGTTCGATGACCTATTACCATATTTCTGGCAACTTCATGATTATGTGCTCAAAGATCTGCTGGTCCTTATCAGCAAATAACTGAACCAAGTGCGTCATCATAATTAGTGAAAGTTTTACCATTCAAAGAGTTTTGCAAACTTTGAAATAAATGGTAATCTGATGGTACAAGGTCAGAGCTGTATGCGCGATGCGACATCACTTCCCAATCAAGTTCCAATAATTTTTCATGAGTTACTAAAGACGTGTGTGTGTTTTGATGAAACACGATTTGCCATTTTTCTTTGATTGCTTCCTCCAGTTTCATTAGTAGGTGACAGTGAACATCTGAATTGACCTTTGTAATTCCACCAAATTGATAGTAGCATGATCTTTTTTGATGCAATTTAGCTTTCGAATTTGATTTGTGCTGTTTCGTCACGCTTGAATTATCATCATTTTCAATTGACGTTTTTATAGATCCATTTTTCATTACTAATGAAAAATCATCATTAGATGACGATTCTTTTTTAATTGATGTGAATATCGAGATTCTTCACAAGGTCCAATACATTTAAGTGATGCAAATAAAATTACATCTTTAAAATAACTAAAGTAAACTTAACGCTATTTATTTTGTGAAAACAGAAATGACTTTCTTGCCAACTCAGTATTTATGCTCTTGTTTGTTTGCTACGTAATCGTTTGAATCTACAAACTTACCGATACAAGAAAACGCACTGAAATCAGAACTTCCTCGAGGAATAGACATTATTCAATCAATTAGTCGATTTGTACTAATTGTGTTTGTTTTGTGTGTAAATTGAATGGAAAGGTCGAAGAACCTTCTCGTTTCCTTAGTAAACGACCGAGTTTACCTTCGGTTTATTTCTTGCGTTGAATTCGCGCGAACGTAACGTTGCGTAACGCAAATCTGTGTCGATGCATTAATGGGTTAATGGCCGCCGATATCTACAGTCCAGATTTCGTTTCAACTATTTCACACTGTCTATCTCTATCAGATTCAATCGATTCAACTTGAAAAACCGTCAGTGTTTGTTAACTATTTTCTATTTATAACTTTGTTTTTCTACAATTTAAGTGTTAGCTGTATTTATGTAACACGATTCAATCAGCGATTTGTTAATAAATTTAAGTTGATGACTTTCCAACATGTTAAAGTGGATTCGACAAAGGTTGTTTACGTAACGTGTACAATTGAATTATTTATTTTGGAAGAAAAAAAAGTGTATGATTAGTAGGGAAATGTGTTAATAATGTGAAATTGTAAAAGAAATCGATAACTATTAACGTGTTTTTTTCTCTTTTTGTCTATTGGGCCACGTAATACAGTCTTGTGGGAGTTTTTTGTTGTTGTTGTAATGAGATTATAGCTTTAGTAAATATTCCACGGCAGAGTGGTTATTAACATAGCGGCCAAACGAGATTCGACGTATGCATGTGGCGCTTTTATTTATGATTCATTTAAGTGCATTACTGCGGCTTTTTTTATGTGTTTCGCACCTAATTCTCTCGCCAGCCACGGCGAAAATAGAACTTTTAATTAGAACACGAAATAGAATTACGTGTTTTTGTGAAATCGATTTTTCGTTTATTTCGGTGATCCTCTTATTTTGTACTTAGTTTTTTTTTTAGTTAACACTACTTTCGGCAACTAATTTCGTGAATTACCACGTACAAATTGTAATTGCTAATTTGTTTAGCAGAGATAAATTGTTTGTCAGGTTTCGATGTTTCCGCCTCAGTTTACCGATTCTAAACGTTAACAAACCATTGGTTTCCTCGCACATATTTTCTCTTCACTTCTACTTGTATTACTTTCACTCTTTAAGGTCCTTTCATACTTTTCCTTTGTCGCGAAAACGACGGTAGTTTTGTGGAATGCAGATTTACTCTGACTTCTTTCTTTTTTTTTAATTCTATTTTTTTTTTGAAAAACTGGTTGTGCTTTGTGAATTACAGTGGAAGCTCGCTTAACGAGCAACGTTTCGCATAACGAGTAACGTTGAGAAGAGAAGTCTTGATTGTGCGCCTTTTTTAATCATCTTCGATTTTCTTTGTCATCTTTGTTTAAAGCGGACTTTACTTTGTAAATATAATTTGTGTTTGCTGTAAATACAGAACACAAATGTATTGTATTTTAAAAGTCCCCGAATAGATACAAGTAATATAAAGAAATATAAACTCATTCTACTGGTCATTCTAGTTGCATCTTAGTGTTATTCGTGATCAAAAAATTTCCAAATTTGTGTTCAGACATGTTATTTGTGATTTTAATAACCTGGCATGTCTCCGAATAAAAAGAATCACAGATATGAAAAGCAAAATCATGAAAAATCGAGACCAAATTATTCTCCGGCATGGAACGCATCAACGTAATTTACATTAGTTTATATGGGAAATCGTGTTTCACTATACCAGTAAAAATCCGGAAATTTTGGAACGGATTAAACTCGTTAAGCGAGGTTCCACTGTATTCTACACTCTTTCATAAGAAATGAATACATTTGAAGTATTCTCACGAAATGACAGCTGTCACCTTGCGATTAAGTGTCATTTTTTATGTTATAAACAAATGAGTCGCAGTACAAGTACAAACAAATATGTTGCATCCCGAAATGACACCTGTCACCTTGCGTTTAAACGTCATTTTTGTAGTTCTTAAAAACAATTGGGTTGCAATACCAATACAAACAAATCAGTGAAAGGTAAATTTATAGAAAAATAAAAATAAATAAAGGACACAGTATTTAGAAAGAAAACGTACCAAGAACATAAATATTTACATAAATTATGCGGTATGAATTTGCGTGAAATAATCTAATCTAATCTTGGTTTATTTGTTTATTCTTTATTTAAGTAGCCGGTAGATGTTTAAACTGTCGTTAAAAAATAGGTTTATCGTTCATTTTATGTCTCGAAACAATAAAATAAACATTTTTTTTTGTTGGTACGTGCATCTCGTACAAATGTTTGTACTTGGCATACTTTTTGTCGCCTCACGAAAAGCCCATCAATTACATTTAAATCATCTGCTAATCGACTCTTCATATTATTTATCTGTTTCTCAATCCAGAATTGGATCGAGTTTAATGCATCTTGAAATGACAGTGACAACTGTTTGCAATTTGGGTTGCATTACAACTATAAACAAATATGGTAAGTCGCAAATGACAGCTGTTATTTTGTGTCAAAGTGAAAAACTGTTATCAAACAAATATGTTTCTTTATAAGCTTGAGAAACTCTGATCTCTGTATAAGCACATGTCTTAATACGTAACGCTCGAGGTCTTAAAATTCCCATTACGTGACAATGTGCTGTGAATGAACGATAATTGTTATTTAAGCTGAAACGAAAACAAGACTACATATTTTAACTATATAAGTTTTTCTATTATGATCACGTAGTTAAATTAGAGCCGGAAACGTGATTGTATAGGAATTTCGAATGCGTCTGCAAATAACTCAATGATAATTTTTATCTGCTGATACTGAACTAATTATTGAATATTGTTTGTTTTTTTTTAAGTTATTTATTAAGAATGTTTTTTAATAACTTTCTATTCTATTTATATATAAACAAGTTATTATTATTATGAATACTTTGTTATAATTACCTTGAAATTTATATTGCTATATTAATTATTCCGTTCGACGGTGAACATAACGGAAAACAGCTCGATGTTTCGATTATTGCAAAAAGCAAAAACTTCCTGTGATTGTTTATATTAATGCAACCAACAAAAGAAAACGTCCTTTGTCCACTGCAACTGCACTGCAATAATTTATTCAGAACATTCATTGATTTCGTTCTAATTTATTATTGGCTATGGGAATTCCCACCAAGTGTTCTAGAATCACCTGATTTTACGTATTTTTTTTTTATTATTTTCTTTTACATATGTAATGCAATTTTCCAACTAAAATTTTCAAATTACAGCTGTCACTTTTGACACAAAGTTGTTTCACGACACAAAGTTGTCAACTAACTCGATCCAATGGTTGAGAAACGCTGTTACAGAGATTCCGCACTGATCGAATCCGCACTATGCTAGATATTGCTGTAGTAACCAATTTGCAACGTTCTAGTTTTGTACATGAAAAATAATTGAGCGCACTTTTTTTTACAAACGTCTTGAGATGAATTATTTGCTAAGAGCAAATTTAATTACATCTGTTTTCTGAATCGATACTCCGAAGTTAGTTGAATGAAACGGATTCGTTAAATAATAAATTTAAGTGATCGAAGCCGCAGTCTCCAAGCTTGAAAACATTGCGCCTTTGCCAAATGGCAACAAAACAATAGCTATCTTCTGCGTTTTTTTTTTTTGGTGGAAAGTTGGTAGTACAACAATTTCGAACAAGTGAATTAAAATTAGGTTGTGTATTAAATCTTTAAACTTTATTGGCTTGTTTGTTTTTGCCCAAAACCATACAGGATAATATAATAAATTCGTGCAAAGTCGTAAAAACCGGTCTGTTTGAAATGCAGTCAACGCTCTCTATTTTTATCAGTGTTTCTCAAACATATTTTTTTGTCTAAGATAAATTTTTATTTAATGCTAATGTATGATCATGTAATATAAATAATGATGAATATAATTATACTATGAAAATCATCAAATTATTATTAATTATTCTCAATTATCCTAATTGCAAATTTAATATAATTATCACGCACACGTGTGTTTTTTTTATATCATATTTGTAATTAGATGATTTATAATGTGTTTTTAAAATGTCACGATGCATATTGATAAATTCATAGTTAATGTGACTATGATTGCTTTGTGGAATTTTTTTATAAAGTCTCAGTTTATAGATGTCGTAACGAGCGTAATATCAGTCGTTTTCATTTTTTCTTTGAATGGACATTGCCTATAATTAATCTAAAATCGATAATGATAATTATTATCAAAGTGCGCCGTATGACGCGATAAGGATAATAATGTTGATTACGTTTATGAAATTTCAAAACACTTTATTGTTTTTGATGTCAATATTATAGAGACGGATGATCCAAAATCTGATCTGCGCGCTCTCAATACAGTATTTACCATTTCGATTGAGGAAACAGTAACGCACTTATCGAGTAAACAAGTTTATAAAATAGGTCACGAAAGACATTTATTCAGTGGCGGATTTACTTTATTATTTCATTTTTGAATTACAGCTAAACGGATATAACTACTACATTCCCCCAACTATCCAACTTTCATATGCATCTTTTGGATTCAATTTATCTTTTGTAATTACCGAGAAAATGATTTTACTTTTTTGAACGCGAATTACAGTTAACCGGGTACAACCACATCAATATTTGAATATCTACTATATTCCCCAACTATCCAACTTTCATATGCATCTTTTGGATTCAATCTATCTTTTGTAATTACCGAGAAAATGATAAAAATGTGAAGACTGCTTTTCGAACGCTATTTTTTTCATTACTTTTTTGAACGCGAATTACAGTTAACCGGGTACAACCACACTAATATTTGAATACTCACTACATTCCACAACTATCCAATTTTCATATGCATC